TGTATCAACTGTGTAATTTTCCATGGGAGTTTTGCCATGGATCCCCCTCCGGCATGCCACAGTCCAGGTGTTAGTCCCCTTGAAACAACTTTTCCATCACTATTGTGGCCAGAAAGAGTCCCTGTGTGTTTTAAAATTCGCCTGCCCATTGAAGTCAATGGCGGTTCGGGCGGTTCGCCGGTTCGCGAACATTTGCGGAATTTCGCGTTCGCCGTTCACAAACCGAAAATTTCGGGTTCGCGACATCACTAGTGTTGAATATCTTCATATAACTGGACAATTTCAGCCTCTTCAGCATCCATGGTTGGAGCATAAACTTGGATCACTGTGATGTTAAATGGCTTTCCTTGAATCTGAATTGAAATCATTCTGTCATTTATTGGGTTGTAACCGAAGACTGCTTTGCCCACTCGATGATTTACTTTGATGGCTACTGCATTTCCTCTGTGGGATTCTTGACCACAGTAGAAGATGTGATGGTTGTCTGATGTGAAATGTCCCATTCCTGTCCATTTGAGTTCACTAATTCCCAGGATATCGATGTTTAACCTTGTCATCTCACGTTTGATCACATCCAATTTGCCTTTGTTCATATAGGCAGTGGTGTATCCTGGTTTTGTGCTGCCCTAGGCAAACACACACACACACACACACAGTCAGACACAAACACACACACACAGTCAGACACAAACACACACACACAGACACAAACACACAAACACACACACTCAGACACATACACAGACACAAACACAGTCAGACACAAACACACACACACAGTCAGACACAAACACACACACAGTCAGACACAAACACACACACACACAGTCAGACACAAACACACAATCACTCACATTAACCTTTTTTTTAATTCAAACCCCCCCCAACCTCCTTACCTTTGGGAGTGCTGGGGGGGGTCTCTCTCTCCCTGGTGGTCCAGTGGCTGCTGGTCGGGTGGGGCGGCGCTGGCTGCTGTGCGGGCGGCTGGCGAGGGAGCACTTCCTCTGAGCAGTCTGCTCAGCTCCCTCGCGAGCCGCCCGCAGAGTGAGGCTGGGAGCCGGAATATGACGTCATCTTCCGGCTCCCAGTCTCACTCTGCGGCGCGCGAGGGAGCTGAGCAGACAGCTCAGGGGAAGTGCTCCCTCGCCAGCACCGCCCGCCCTCCCAGCATGTCAGTTAGCCGCGAGGCTAACCAGGCATTTGCTTTGGGCATTTGGGGGCGGCGTTTTTTGCCGCCCCCTGAAAAATGCTGCCCAAGGCAAATGCCTTGTTTGCCTCGCGGCTAATACGTCCCTGCATATAGGTCCAACATTGCAGGTTCCTGTGTTAAATTGTTCTTTGCAGCAGTGAACTTTCCTTTCCCCTCCAAACACATTTGCAGTTGGGTGTCCTCTCGGCTTTGGCCCAACCACTTCATTAGATCTGGTGCTACTCGTACTTACCCTTTGCTCTTCCTCGGTAATGTGGTAGGCATCTTCTGACCTGAGGTCATATCTTTATGTCCTGCAGATATATGAAAAGACAAATAGTCATCACATTACATTGTCATCTTTATTCAGATACATGGTGCCAAGTCTATAGAAGAGGTTCACCCTCTATAATCATGATTGAGCAAACTGAAGTTCTCCTTCTTTTTTAATGCAATCAGGTATTATTATGTTTCCAATGTAGGTAATACCAAATTCCAAATTAAAACCCATTTTTCAATGTTTCTTTTTGTGGACCATTCCCATAAACTCAGCATGTCAGCAGGTGTCTTAGGTTCCTTTGTAGTATAGTGTTGGATCACATTTCAGCACAATCTTCACAGATGGCAGAGGGACATCCACAAATAGTTTATTTGTATAATGTACAGGCATACTGATTGCTCCTTGAAAATGTATTAACCAGATTCTCAGGTTTTATCTTTGTTGGTCAATTAAAGGCAGTTTTCAGTATACCTTGCTAATATTCCAAAACAGCAACAGTTTATGGTGAATACCCTCTTTCATTCAATTATGGCATTCATTATAACATCGTACAGAAAGAATTACCACTATCAGAAAGAAGCTAGTCCAATGTACAGATCTTCTCATAGTAGCAGAATGGTTCCAAAAAAAAGGTTAATTTTTTTTTAATATTTTTATAATTGCACAAGAAAGTAGAAATTTCGAAAATCTGGATAATGTGACACCATTTTGTATTGGTCTTTTAATTTTTTTAGGGATATTTCAAAGGAGAGGAGAGAGTGCCACAGATTCTAACGTATATTCTTACATACATTATAAGACAAAAAAAAGTGGAGACCAAAGATTCAAATTGACCAATTTCCACAATTTTTAGCATGTTTTCCTCCTATAAAAAACAGATAAAAACAAAGAACACTTTAAGGTAGCATAACCAGTGATAGTTCATGTAAAACTGTAAGGAAAAATCATATGAAATCACAAAGATTATTTGTTTCTCATACATAATATCACTTTCATTTTCTTGTAAAGTGCGTTCGTCTTGGGAAAGAATTTTCTTTTTCAAATGTATCTTTTATTTTAGCAAATATATCTACACAGGAATGTGAAATAGTATTTCTGACTGTGTCCGGGGCTGTGTAGGTGTGAGAAATCTATTCATCATCAGGATCAAATGTAAGTTATAAAACTGTGGGCTGGATTATTTTACAAGGGATGAACTTAACCCTAGTAACTGAATAGCAGTTAATATATACATAGGGAAATTGTTATTTAACAATTAGATATATGCTTATCTCGTATCATTGTATCCAACCCTAGATTGCTTGGCAATTCCCTTTTTCAATGACTTTTTCCAGTAACTAATACACATGTTTACGAATGAGATGTACTGTCCAATACTTCCTGAATAACCAGATAATGTTGCCTTTCTAACAGAAAACATACGGTAAGGTTGTATATTCAGTATGAACTAGTAGAATATTTAACCCCTTAAGGACACAACTTCTGGAATAAAAGGGAATCATGACAGAATATTTCCTTCATGTGTCCTTAAGGGGTTAAATCTAAAAAGAGTCACTCTATTTGTCAATGGACTTTTTTCATGGGTTTCACTTACTAAACTGGGAAATACAGAGAATCAACAGGGGAATTAAATATTTTATGAAAAACTGGAAAAAATGCTGATGTTTTGCCATTTTCACCTATTTTTTTCCATTCGCTTATCAGTTCTTCGCAAGTCAATAAATAAAACCCAAAGTCTTCTATTTTTAAGGCTCAAGCCATGGGCAATTAAGTGGTTTACTGCATGTAGGTCTACTCTGAGCTCATAAGGAAGTCAAGAATACGATCTGATAATATAAAATACAATTATATGAGTGAGGGCAGTTGACCAGTTGACTCTGTTTGACCCAGCAGTACACTAGGATTAGGGTCCACATTAGGGGTTAGGATGTGGGTTACACTTATGTAAACAGATTTCATGTTTTACAGGAAGAACAAGAGATGGTTGTAAGGGCATTGGTTAGGAAGTGCCGTTAAAGTTTATGTCAAGATATAAGATTGTTCAATAAAGACAAAATATAATTGAATAGACATACAGATAAAACTAGCTGATATTGATACATTAGACTCAAAAAGTACCAGTCTTAAGAATTGTGTATTTAGACATAGGTTATGGACATAGGTTATGGAATTGGGAAGACACGTGATTTCTTCTCCCTCCTATGCACCAGCATTTTGTGTAGTATGGCACAGCATTTATTCTACACTTAATTTAAGAATGTATTCGTCTATTTGGATTCAACATATCAGAACAGCATGGATGAATTCCTTATGCAAGTGGGAGCTTACACGGATCAAGTGGAAACTTTACAGTTCACACCAGAGGAGGCGACAAATATTCTATGGGAACAAACCAGTTTGGAACTTCCACACCACTTCACTTCCAAGGATGTCTATTTTAAACCATTGTGCCTACATAGAAAACACATAGATTTGGACTTACATGGACTATTTTTATCCGACTACTATAAAGCTAAGCGGATCCCATGTGGATTCAGAATCCTCAATATTCTGACCATTGGGAGCGGTAAGACCACGGTCTGTAGAGATTGGACTGGCGTCCTTAACAAAGCTTAATTGGATCTTGTGTTGATCATCATAAAGGACGTCAAAACAGACCTAGCAGATATTAACCAGAAAATCCTTGATATGGAAACGGAACATGTACTCATGCTAACCTCAGCCAAAGGATTAAAATTGCAATAACAACTAGAAGAGGAGCTGCTGAAGTATAAGAATGAGTTGATAAAGTTCAAGAAAGATAAATTTGAAAGGGTCCAACAGGATTATCAGTATCATACAGTATATAAATGGATGTCTGGTGATAACGCACGCAGGCCAAGAAGACAGCGCAAGAGGATTATACGTCCTAAGCTCCCAACCATTGATGTGACTTCTAGGGAATCTACCTTAGAAAATTAAGCCCCAAGGGAACCAGCAACTTTATCAGAGGTGGTAGAAGGGGGCATGTCACGTGCGTGGGCTATAGGCCCAGCCGAGACAGTGGGGAGAGTGTGGAAGTGACAGGGTTAATGACACCAGACCCCTGGTTACCTGTTGCTAGTCCCAGCAACCACTCAATTAACCCCTGCAATCCCTTCTACACTAACTCCCTTAGTACACTTGACTGCCACCACCAAGACTTTTAAACCCGGGCGTCTTAGGTTACCCCACACACAGGAGAATTATAGTATCACAGTTCTACTTTTACTGATAAAACATATATAGTTAACCCTTTTTGGTAACGTGTTTACCTGAGCTTTCCTCTGGAGAGTGAAGCTCATAGAGAACAGAGACACAAGCTGATTAAGTAAACATTTAATCTGACAAAAAGGATTCACAGTGCTGAGTACAAAATACAGAAATAAATGACATACAGATAACAAATTGCAAAACAGTACATAAAATAAAATAGGAGAAAACACAAGAAATTCCTTACATATATTTACCCCATATAGAATTCTTGTGGGAGTCTTAGATGGTATAGGTCTCCTAGAAGTTACTGACAAAAAGAAAAATGAATAACTGACTCCCTGGATAGTCCAACACCCTCATATATCTAAACTAGTTGTTTCTCAGTGGGCAGACCCCTGGGGGGGGGGATCAGAGGGGGCTGGTCTGGCAGTCTATTGCCCACTCTATGAAATTCCTTGTGTCCAGCTCTGGTGATGGCTATCTAGATGTTTTATGGTCTAGGCCTGGTGCAGGATCAAAGACCACAATAAATGTCATCCCAAGGTTTACAAAAAAACTACTCTTAACATATATAAACACACATCAAACACCAACTCATGCTTTTGGCATGACAGGGCACTACAACCAGGAACCAAAGCTGAGGCGCAGAAGGCACCGCACAAGACGAGAGCACAAGGATAAGGCCCAGCTCTCCCGATATTCAACCTATCAAATAGGTCCTTGAGCCATGAAGAAACCGATACACTGAACCGAGGGCTCTCCTTTGTACCCACAGTTTACCCCAACTAATTTAAATGGAATATAGAACTATTCCAATTTGAGAACAATGTATTTGAAGGAATACTTTAATCGCCGTGACAAACTGACAAATAATACTGCAATCAGCGAGGTTTAAACCTAAATCAGTGTTTGATCCGCAGACCAATAGACCCTCTATTAAGACGTTCCTATCAACCACGAACAAGACTACTTAGATAGCTTTGTCCTAGCACAAAGATAAATATCAGAATATCACTTAAAATGTAAGTTGATTAAGAAATTGGCTAACGATCCAGATATCATCATACGCCCTGCAGATAAGGGTGGAGGAATCGTAGTGATGAACTATCAAGACTATGCAGAAGACCTTAAATTACAATTACAGGATCACGACACCTATCAGCTACTCCAGTGTGACCCTATGAAACGGATACAGAATAAGATCAAGGACACCCTTGACATGGGATTAATGGCAGGTTATATTGACCTCGATCTGTACCAGTATACGAACAAGGAATATCCACGAATACCCATCATTTACAGTATTCTGAAAATTCACAAAAAAACACAGTGTCCGCCAATGATGGGGCTTTGGAGCCTATTGCTAAATCGCTGGACCATATGTTCAAGGGTCCAAATGAATAATTAGATACATGTATTAAGGACACCCAAGCACTCTTAACCAAAATCAAACTTATTGAATTTGGGGACCACAGACCTATTTTGATATTTTTTACTATGGATGTACGTAGTTTGTACACTGTAATCCCACACGAAGAGGTATTTGAAGCTATGCGTGAGGTCCTAAACCAGTCTAAAACATACCAAGGTCCCCCTATTGAATATACTCTGGAACTCCTGGAACTAACACTGCAACACAACTACTTTAGATTTGAAGAAAATTGGAATTTACAGGTGGCCGGAACATCTATGGGGGCAGCCATGGACCCCATGTACGCCAACATGTACATGTATGTATATGAACAAAAGTACATTTTAGCACACTTTGGCCATAACGTGGCGGGATATTTCTGCTACATTGATGACCTCTTGCTGATATGGACTGGCACAGTGACAGAGGCAACTGACATGGTTGCACACCTGAACCAAAAATGTACACCAATTAGGTTCACTGCCATCATTAGTCCGGGGAAGGTTCAATACCTGGACCTCGAACTCAAAGTGGGATTAAATCAGATTGAATACTGTTTGTACACCAAGGTCACAGACAGGAATACGTTATTACATGCATGAAGTGCACATCTGATAGCCTCGAAAGATTCACTTTCTAAAGCGCAGTACCTTAGGGTCATCAGAAACAATTCAGACGATGTCAGTGTGTATCAGGGATCCCTAGGACAGGTGTCAATCCATATCTGCCAAGTGACCCGATGTAGGGGGAACAGTCTCTATTCTGCTCTGTGTCAGTGTGTATCATGGTCTCTGAGGACAGGTGTCAATCCATATCTGCCAAGTGACCCTATGTAGGGGGAACAGTCCCTATTCTGCTCTGTGTCAGTGTATCAGGGATACTTAGGACAGGTGTCAATCCATATCTGCCAAGTGACCCTACGTAGGGGGAACAGTCTCTATTCTGCTCTGTGTCAGTGTGTATCATGGGCTTTGAGGACAGGTGTCAATCCATATGTCAAGATGTCAATATGTCAATCCATATTCATTGTGATTTAGGAATGTTAGGTGATTTCTGCCCTTTATGGATTAAAACCAGACTCTGTATCAACTGTGTAATTTTCCATGGGAGTTTTGCCATGGATCCCCCTCCGGCATGCCACAGTCCAGGTGTTAGTCCCCTTGAAACAACTTTTCCATCACTATTGTGGCCAGAAAGAGTCCCTGTGTGTTTTAAAATTCACCTGCCCATTGAAGTCAATGGCGGTTCGGGCGGTTCGCCAGTTCGCGAACATTTGCGGAATTTCGCGTTCGCCGTTCGCAAACCGAAAATTTCGGGTTCGCGACATCACTAGTGTTGAATATCTTCATATAACTGGACAATTTCAGCCTCTTCAGCATCCATGGTTGGAGCATAAACTTGGATCACTGTGATGTTAAATGGCTTTCCTTGAATCTGAATTGAAATCATTCTGTCATTTATTGGGTTGTAACCGAAGACTGCTTTGCCCACTCGATGATTTACTTTGATGGCTACTGCATTTCCTCTGTGGGATTCTTGACCACAGTAGAAGATGTGATGGTTGTCTGATGTGAAATGTCCCATTCCTGTCCATTTGAGTTCACTAATTCCCAGGATATCGATGTTTAACCTTGTCATCTCACGTTTGATCACATCCAATTTGCCTTTGTTCATATAGGCAGTGGTGTATCCTGGTTTTGTGCTGCCCTAGGCAAACACACACACACACACACACAGTCAGACACAAACACACACACACAGTCAGACACAAACACACACACACAGACACAAACACACAAACACACACACTTAGACACAAACACACACACACAGTCAGACACAAACACACACACAGTCAGACACAAACACACACACACACAGTCAGACACAAACACACAATCACTCACATTACCCTTTTTTTTAATTCAAACCCCCCCCAACCTCCTTACCTTTGGGAGTGCTGGGGGGGGTCTCTCTCTCCCTGGTGGTCCAGTGGCTGCTGGTCGGGTGGGGCGGCGCTGGCTGCTGTGCGGGCGGCTGGCGAGGGAGCACTTCCTCTGAGCAGTCTGCTCAGCTCCCTCGCGAGCCGCCCGCAGAGTGAGGCTGGGAGCCGGAATATGACGTCATCTTCCGGCTCCCAGTCTCACTCTGCGGCGCGCGAGGGAGCTGAGCAGACAGCTCAGGGGAAGTGCTCCCTCGCCAGCACCGCCCGCCCTCCCAGCATGTCAGTTAGCCGCGAGGCTAACCAGGCATTTGCTTTGGGCATTTGGGGGCGGCGTTTTTTGCCGCCCCCTGAAAAATGCTGCCCAAGGCAAATGCCTTGTTTGCCTCGCGGCTAATACGTCCCTGCATATAGGTCCAACATTGCAGGTTCCTGTGTTAAATTGTTCTTTGCAGCAGTGAACTTTCCTTTCCCCTCCAAACACATTTGCAGTTGGGTGTCCTCTCGGCTTTGGCCCAACCACTTCATTAGATCTGGTGCTACTCGTACTTACCCTTTGCTCTTCCTCTGTAATGTGGTAGGCATCTTCTGACCTGAGGTCATATCTTTATGTCCTGCAGATATATGAAAAGACAAATAGTCATCACATTACATTGTCATCTTTATTCAGATACATGGTGCCAAGTCTATAGAAGAGGTTCACCCTCTATAATCATGATTGAGCAAACTGAAGTTCTCCTTCTTTTTTAATGCAATCAGGTATTATTATGTTTCCAATGTAGGTAATACCAAATTCCAAATTAAAACCCATTTTTCAATGTTTCTTTTTGTGGACCATTCCCATAAACTCAGCATGTCAGCAGGTGTCTTAGGTTCCTTTGTAGTATAGTGTTGGATCACATTTCAGCACAATCTTCACAGATGGCAGAGGGACATCCACAAATAGTTTATTTGTATAATGTACAGGCATACTGATTGCTCCTTGAAAATGTATTAACCAGATTCTCAGGTTTTATCTTTGTTGGTCAATTAAAGGCAGTTTTCAGTATACCTTGCTAATATTCCAAAACAGCAACAGTTTATGGTGAATACCCTCTTTCATTCAATTATGGCATTCATTCTAACATCGTACAGAAAGAATTACCACTATCAGAAAGAAGCTAGTCCAATGTACAGATCTTCTCATAGTAGCAGAATGGTTCCAAAAAAAAGGTTAATTTTTTTTTAATATTTTTATAATTGCACAAGAAAGTAGAAATTTCGAAAATCTGGATAATGTGACACCATTTTGTATTGGTCTTTTAATTTTTTTAGGGATATTTCAAAGGAGAGGAGAGAGTGCCACAGATTCTAACGTATATTCTTACATACATTATAAGACAAAAAAAAGTGGAGACCAAAGATTCAAATTGACCAATTTCCACAATTTTTAGCATGTTTTCCTCCTATAAAAAACAGATAAAAACAAAGAACACTTTAAGGTAGCATAACCAGTGATAGTTCATGTAAAACTGTAAGGAAAAATCATATGAAATCACAAAGATTATTTGTTTCTCATACATAATATCACTTTCATTTTCTTGTAAAGTGCGTTCGTCTTGGGAAAGAATTTTCTTTTTCAAATGTATCTTTTATTTTAGCAAATATATCTACACAGGAATGTGAAATAGTATTTCTGACTGTGTCCGGGGCTGTGTAGGTGTGAGAAATCTATTCATCATCAGGATCAAATGTAAGTTATAAAACTGTGGGCTGGATTATTTTACAAGGGATGAACTTAACCCTAGTAACTGAATAGCAGTTAATATATACATAGGGAAATTGTTATTTAACAATTAGATATATGCTTATCTCGTATCATTGTATCCAACCCTAGATTGCTTGGCAATTCCCTTTTTCAATGACTTTTTCCAGTAACTAATACACATGTTTACGAATGAGATGTACTGTCCAATACTTCCTGAATAACCAGATAATGTTGCCTTTCTAACAGAAAACATACGGTAAGGTTGTATATTCAGTATGAACTAGTAGAATATTTAACCCCTTAAGGACACAACTTCTGGAATAAAAGGGAATCATGACAGAATATTTCCTTCATGTGTCCTTAAGGGGTTAAATCTAAAAAGAGTCACTCTATTTGTCAATGGACT